AATACCACGCCTAACCTATCGGGGCCTTGTGTGGTTCGCCACTCCAAGTCTCGGGGCTTAGGTTGCCGGTTTATACCCTTGAAGACCACGTCCTCGTGACTATGGGGTTCGTTCCGTCTGCTATTCAACACATTCAGGTGTGGATTGAAAAAATAAGAAAATGAGCATCGAGTATTCCACTCACCCGGGGCGTTTTGGTTTTGATACAGTGCACCTAATTATCTTTTCTCATCAATGATGCACTGATTTTGTATGTAGAGTATCTTTCCATGGGATGACATTCTTAATCGAGTCACCATATTCCGGTTTACACTCGTGTGCTCGAAGTGTGTCATTCAGCCCTTTTGTTTTGTGAATCCGGCGGTTATGAGTTCAAATCCTGGCCACTGTAAGTCCCCAGCTCCCACCTAATTGAATAAAGCCCCCTTCCTGAACGTTTACTGAACAAGTTAATAGTTTCCAAATGAAAATTCGTCGCGTATATAGAAAATGAAGCGTGAACTGAACAGCCGCGAAGCATTGGACAACTGTTTCGATTTGGTCGGGTCTCATCAGCAGTGCGAATCCATCGATTCAACTGGGGACCGAATCAGAGACCTCTTGGGCATAACGTGAGCATGCGACCCACTCGGACACCGAGAAGCTGATCGGATCATTTTTCGTTTTCCATTTACACATTATTGTACAACCTATTTTTGCCATATACACGACGAATTTTCACCTTGAAATTGTATCAAATTCTCCATTGCTCACATGAATTTAATAGTTACCGAAAAACCGAACAATAACAGTACAACATTGAGAAATATGATGTGTGAGCAAGCGAGTTTGAGATAAACAACCATATATCACATCGAAAAACTGTGGTTTCTGCATGAAAGCATTTGTCCAGCCGATTTCGATCTCCACACTCCGCATGAGCGATTAATGTGCTTATATTTCTAACGTACACTTTGCAACATTCCTTTAACTGACTTGTTAAGTTGAGTTGTTTGGGTTAACTGCTTTTCAGAATGATCATGTCCTTTCAATTTTTATCAAAGTTTAAAAGACTGAGCGACGATTCTCACTCAGTGCATCACTTATTTGTACAATAATACTACTACATGCGACAGATAGCTGATCTCCAATTTCGTGCAGTCTGAATGAAGTGATTTTATTCCTCTTTAGTAGTATATCCCTCCTAATGGGTACAGTCTGAGAGTAAAAAAGATAAATTACCATTAGGTAGAACAAGTGTAGTCACGCTCAAGCCTGTGGGACCCTCGAACCAGTCGTATCACAAGTTCAGAATGCAAAACCCTACAGTTCGACGATCGATGGATGTCATGTATGGCACACGAATACAAAACGAAATCATGCGGGGCAAATTCAATCCGCGTGGATGTCCTAATCGACCTAAATGTAACGAATGTTGCTCATTGGGTGTGAAGGATCACAGTTAATACAATAGTTGAGTCCCCCCTCCCCCCAAATGGCCCACCCGGTGACATTCTCTACCGCAACCCTGGACAAGGAAACGGGACTACTTTTTAACCAATGAACTGTGTTCAAGTAACGAAACGGAATAATTGCAGAATCCGTAATTTATAGCGATCTTTCACAGAGCTTTTACACTCCAAATAGTCTCGCACTCTTGCTCTATTTTAAAGTGATCATAACATTTTTATTTTAAGCCAACCGGATTGCGTGTAGTCAGTATCATGAGATGTGGCTGGCACAGGGAATGCATTTGGATTCCCATATCTAATCCTGCTTTATCGGAAAACAACGTGAATTTCCCTCTACCACACACACATAGCAGCCTGATCTAATGCCACATGAAAATACCTACGGGGTATCATCAACCAAGTTATGTATCAATTGTCAATACAGGGGGAAGAAGGATTGCACATGGTTGAATATAACAAGTCAAAAATTGTTAGTTTGTTGATTATCAAGCAAAACACAAAAGTTACTGGACTCCAGAGAAAACATGGCACAATAGTCCCTTGGAATTGACAACATGTGATGATTGAAAGGAGGGGGCAGCGTGAAATATATATGTATTACGTGTAAATTTGAATCCAGTCTGCTTTGTGAATGGTTGGAATTTTTTGAATTTTTCGATCTCAAGTGTACAGTAAGATGGGATGTATGTTTCTCCAATCAACTGGGGCTTTCATCTCTCACATTTTCCTTAAATAGAAAACATTAACAACTGCGCTCACTAAAATTGGAGCCTCATGTCCACTTGAAACATCCCATGGTTCACCAACCTCCCCTCAGTCACACATGATACACACGTCCAGTCATCTTGAACACATTGGTTAATCAGTGGACAGTTCTTGAAATCTCCACGGGACAGTACTTCTGTCGAGTGCGTTTTGTCAACCCCGTCCTGAACACATGCCACTACACCTGTCAGACATAAATGCATTGACAAACGCATCAATGCAGTACGTGGCATGTTTATACATATTGCAAATGAGAGTTCCAAATGTGAGTTCATGGACCCATTCCATGTTCACGTGATCACGGCACCCATCCCCATTTGGTTAACATGCGTGCATTTGGGCGACACCAGAGCAGACAGACGAGGTGGTGGTGGTGGTGGTGGTGGTGGTGGTGGTGGTGGTGGTGTGGGAGTTATTGTACCTGGTCAGCAAAACATTTGTCCCTCAACATTTGTATACGTTATGCTTCTCAGCATGTGGACTGGTAAAATAATCCAGTGTTCTAGAAACAAACGCGGAAAACCCTACATGCATATAGTTGTGTTTTTGTATGATCGACACGTCGGACAAGGCCGATGGCACGTTTGTTAATTTAGATTAAAATGTCCGCTCGATCGAAGAAATTGCACTCGTGCCGTTATTTACACCAAGTGTCGAACTTGTGACGGACAATGAGTATCAGTTTAGCCCNTGAAAACCACGAGACGACAACAGAAACGACGGTGTTCTTGTTCTATCCGCGGACAGGACAAGTACACCGTTAGATGGACATAGAAATGCGAGCAAAAATCCCTTATCTATCTATGTACGATACTCCGGCGTTCACGGTGAGCAGTGCATATCACATCGTTCGCCTGAACGCGGGGACGCTCGGGACCAAAACCATCTCAATCAACTTGTACACGCAAAACAACACATGGGGAACTTGTGTGTGGGATGGCGGGTGGGGGGAGGATTCAGACTGGGAGGTGGTGGTAACTTGGTTATCGGAACATGAACGAGGGTTGGGTTTGTAAGCAAAGACCTGGTAACTTAATGGTTGTGTACACTTGTATACTATTTGGTCTTATCTAGGCATCGATGTCAAGCCCTCTCTGTCGGACAAGCACACGCGAGAGATATGCGGGGTAAACAACTGGACTGAACGAGCGCAAACCGGTGGAGGAAATGAAATCTATAGAACATGGATCACAACTGATCTATCCCCTTATCTCACTCGAGTGCCCAAATGTATCTATTACACACCTTCGCGGTGGGAAACTGAGCACATCGTTCGAATGGAGATAGGCCACATTGCAGCTAGTGTGTGCGCGTGTGGGATGGGGGGGGGGGAGGGCTGGGGTTAGTGAGCGTTGACATTTTATCTCACAAATGCACTAGCACACCGGTTGCTCTGGTTATCCGCGACAATTTGTATTCACATACACGCACGTGTGGATGTGTAGAGAGTTAGTTGGGCGTTTTTATTCACCAAGTTGTCACAATTATTTCCACTCTATTACATGCCCAAAGCACTGCTGTTTCATTCGAAATCCTGTCGTCCTGTCTATCCGTGCCCCTGTTTCTGTTTGTGTGTGTGTGTAGCTACACCTCTTCAAACACCATGGATTTAGGTTCCACTGATAAAACGGGAACTGGTTCAAGGAAGGTGACACAGTTAGATAAGATCAGCAGAACAGAGTATTGGTGTGCTTGAGAGAGAGAGAGGGTAGGTAGGTTGGTATGGGTTAGTGTAACCCAGTCCAGTTTGTGCCCTCGAGCAAGGCGAATACAAGAACCGGAAAAAAGCTTCTCCACGAGGGTTGTACATAATTGGAAACGAACGAAATTGCAGCAATTGGTTGTACATGTTCTGTCACTGTAAGAACAAATGATGCATGTGTTCGAGAATGATTGGGCCGGGGATAGAGAAAGCAGTCTCGGAGGACATTTTTCTTGTTCTTCTCACATTTTCGAAATGCATACAGACCGAGGGAATAGATAATTTCCTAGTCGAGGCCCGATAAAATCTCAATCGTTTATAATCGAACACAATGGATTATCACCGTAGCCAAATGATGACCGTTTCGCAATAGTAAAAACTGTAGAATTAGAATTTGCAGATATCGCGGTGATATATTAGCGGATTTTGCATTCACAACAGGTTTGAATCACTTTGATAGGATGAAAAATTATCTTTTAAAAAATACAGAACACATATGAATTGTGAAGCAATGCGTACTGTTAGTTTCTCCAAATCAATTCGATGTGACTAGCTCAACAAAAGAAACTTAGTGCGAAGATAAACATCATATCTGTCAACTTTCATATCTATTACTCGTCGAATGTTTTTGATATCGCTATTTCTTTATGTAGAATAGTAATTCCTGAACAACCGGGTCTAACATTTCACACCACGTCTCCATGTTAGCTCCATCTTATAGTTAGTTTTACATTGTTCACAGTCCGATGACAGCGACAATTTTCGTGGCTGAAACGGTAATTGGTCACGACACCTGGCCATCGTCGGGTCATTTGGTCATTTCTCGCTACACCACTACCATTAGTGATTTTGAGTGAACATTGTTCGGGCTTCATCTGCACGGACACTCCTTCCTCTTCGTCCATAAACTTGTTTCGTTCTTGTCAAAGCTCATCATTGACACATATCCAACGGTCCAATCTGAATTTGAACTCCGAACTCCCCACACAGAAGACGAGTGTTTCACCACTGTACCAACCAGTTTCAACTAGAGATGGTTTCGTACCCATTTAATTGAGAACATGAAAGTTTGGCGATTGTCCGCTGATCTTGATTGCCTCATTCACCTGTGTCTCATTCTCAATCTAATAATAAAAAATGATCTGTCTCGATTGCTTCGCATTTGACTGATAACACATACACTCGGAGATGTTTGAGGGTGAATGTAATGGAACCATATATGTGTTCACTGACATCTATTACTCGCAACCAAAACTCTCTCCATCCGTGCACACACGTTAAAACATTTATCGCTTTAATACTTCTGATTTGCAGTGGGATACACGGCATTATGTGCCTATCCGTCCGCACTACCCGAGCAAGCTAGATTCATGCCTGGATTTAGCCAGCTCGAATTGGATCCAACCTATTACGCAACTCAGAAGCGAGCGGATCAATTGAATTTCAGCCCGTTCACTAGTCGTCGTGGTCGCCTGGGCCCAAGCAATACGTCCGCATTCACCCAATCCCGGCCGGGGCTGGGTCGTGCCGCGGATTCACAAGTTATCTACAGTCCCCTAAGTGTGGCAACCACGTGTCATCTGACTTATCCCACATTTCCAGCACTCAATTACGGATCCGGCACGGACAACCCGAATCAGCGTTACGAGGCATTCGAGTTGGCACCGGATTTGAAGACTTCGCCCGACTCGAATCCGTCACGCGTGGGCAGTGGTTGGAAAGCAAAAGTATCGGATGCGTATGCGGAAAACACATTTGTCTAATTATCTCCGCTCCTTCGGGACCGATCAGTGAACATCTATCTGACCCCGAGACACTTTCAT